CGTTAGGGCACTCGCTAATATTAATGTGTTTAATATTCTCTTTCCTAGCGATTCTAAATCGCTACTTCTAGAGGCCTAGGTCTATAGCTATAGCGTAGTACTTAAGAACAGGGTTGCTAATAACAATAGTAGCTCCCCTATATAGGTTATCTGTATCTACTACGTAGGCAGTAAAGTCTAGTAGGCGTTTATTTCCGAGGTCGTCCTTTAGAGCTATAGGAACATAGTAGGCCCTATAGGTTAAGTGCCGAGCGTTATTAAACTAAGCAAGGGTTAGCAGGTTAGTCTTCGGCAGTTGTCGAAGGTCTAATTGCTTAGCTAGGCGATAGCTAATAAGGGTACTAACTAAATTTCCTAGATCTAGTATAACCTTAGTTTAATAGGTAGTGCCCTTCGTATCCTATATAAGGTAGGAGCGTGTTATAGCTAGTACAATGTCGATAGTCTTACGCCGTACGAGGCTAATAGTTAGTACGGCGCTTACTCTTTTTTCGAAGGTTAGCCTATAGGGGTAGCGTTAGCCGCTAAGAGGTACTTTCGGTGTTTAGCGGAAGTACGGTTAATTCGGGCCTAGTCCTTAGGTTTGTCGCATTAGCCTAGTAGATAGCTAGTACTATTACAATTGAAGCACTTTAATCCGGTTAGTAGACTACCGTAGCTGTTATTACTATTATTAGCCGAGCGGTTAGCATTGTAGGGATACGAGCCCCTTCTACGGCCCCTATCGCGGCCTCCTCTATATAGCCGGCGGCTACGGCCTCTTCTACGGTTATTGTTACTATTCCTATTATTAGTATTATTATTATAGTAGGAACCTTAGTTTCCTCCGCGGCTACTACGATTGCCGCGGTTAGTACTAGCTAGCCGGATCCTCGATTCTAGTCGTTATTAGAGCTAGATAGCTCGTTCGGCTGTTTCTACTTCGACTATAAATTAAATGCGTATTAGGTTAGCTTATTCGAATATACGGCGGCGGTTCAATTCGAGAATAAGCTCCTACCTAAGCTTAGGGCGTATTTCCGAGATCTATATAGAATTAGTCTTAGGCGGAAGTGTAAGGCGGAAGCCGAGGAGGCTTAGCGCTAAGCACGTAGCGACCCTAGCCTATAAGTGCGCCCGAGATCTACGCTTAGTAAGCGCGGATACTTCCGATCTTTTGTCGCGGCGTAAGACGCTAGTAAACGGGCGCACTAGTGTAGCGGTCTAATAGAAAGGTCGTCTTTAAGGGTTTTTAAATAGGCTTTAAATAAGCGAGCCGATTAATCGGTCTTCTATTTAGCTCGAAGATATAGGTCCTAAGTATATTGCTACCTTAGTATAGGGTTTCTAAGGGTGTCTAGTATAATAGTTTTGTAGGTTTGCTACTAAATAGCAGTCTAGTTATTAAGGGAGTCGAAATAGTTATCCTATATACGCTTTAGGTCGCTATTAATATACTATATAGCGTAGACAACTAGTAAATAGTCGTCTAGAAGAGCCCTCGGCGCATTTCGCTAGTTAAGCTCGCAATTACGTATATAATCGTTATATTGCTTGCGACTAGAGCTGTTAAATACGGTATAGTCCTTAAGTTTAGCGTCCTTCTTTTAGATAGGTAGTAAAGAAGGTCCCGCTATTAGTTTAGTTATCGGGGCTTCCTAAGGGCGACGGAGCTCGAGGAGATTATCCTTTAGCTATTATTCTTAACATAGGGTAGTAAGCCTGTTTTAAGTAGCTTCCTAAAGTCTCCCTAATAGTTAAGGGCTAAAGGCTAGTTAGCTATATCGACGGTTAACAATATTGCTAAGAATGTCGTTAATAGGCAACTCTAGGTCGTTACCTAGAATTATAGGTTCTTCGGCAGGCCTAGTAGTAGGCTCTTTAGTAGGAGGCACTTTAGTAGGTGCTTTAGTAGGCACTTTAGTAGGTACTATGCTACTAGCATTGTCGTTGCTAGCGCTGCTAGCGGTAGCACAGTTGTTGTTTCGTAACGAGCCGGCTATTATAATAGAGGGTAATACTAATAATATATTATTAGCCCCTAAAATACGGATATAGCGGAATTAGTAGATATTAGTCTAGTACGATTAACTTAGTATAATAGGCCGTATAGAAGGCCTTGCTTAATAATTAGTACGGTTGCTTCGATAGAATAGTACGTATAGGTCCCGTTCTTCGGGCGCAATATAGTTAAATTAGTCTTATTCGTAGCTATACTGCTAAAAGCTTGAAATAAGGACTATCTAGCTGCTGCCCTTAAAGGGTAGATCGAATACTATATAAGAAGGGTATATTAGTAGGTAGATAGGGTAGTAGTAGGTATAGGTAGTATTCGATAAGGAGCTAGAAGGAGAGGGAGGAAGGTAGGCAAGTTAGCCTATTACTAAGCGCTAAGCCCTGCCTAAGGCATTAAGACCCTAGCTTCACTCGAGCCTAGTTACATACTAATTACGTATAACCTCTTTAGTCCTAACAAAGCTTCGGCTAAAGGGCGCTAACGAGACGGAAGTCTAGTATTTACTAAAGAACTAGAGTACTAAGAAGTTATATTTATAGGCAACTTAGGCTCGTTTAAACAACCTAATTCTTATATAAATTCGCACTATATCGCCGCTAGAGAGGTACTATAATGCTATTAAGTACGATAATAAGAAGAACCTCGTTTAGTACTCGATATATAGTACTATTATCGAGTTACTAAAGATAGACGCTCGGCAACTATATAAGGCTAATCTTTAGCTATATAGGCTTAGTAAACGCACTTAATTCTAGAAGGTTAAGAATATGCCCTATTTCGAGAATTTACAACCTCCGGCGGTATAGGACTTCGTACGGAAGCAATTAAATATTATAGAAGAGTTAGAAGCTAAAGTAAGGCCTATATACGAGGGCCTTATACTATACCGCGATAGATACTAACCTCCTTACTATAATTGCCTACTATAGTTTTAGCAGTACCTGCCTTGTTACTATATACTACGGCATTACCTGTTTATAACACCTCTAAGCCTATAACAATAACAACTCTATATTAGCTTCTATAGCGGCTATAACTCGTAGAAGATAGCCGATTATTAGCGGTAGAGAGATAGTACTACTCTATTTATCGAAGGTTATAAGGATAAGAAGCCCTTCGTTACTAGTAACCCCTATCTTCGTAACCTACGCGCTTACTTTAACGAAGGTATTAAAGGCCTCTTATAGCACTTCTATACGGTCCGTAACGATAAGACGATCTATAATAGTACGCTTAAAGATAACTATATAAGAGCCTTCTTACGGAAGGTTAAAGATACTATATATTCGCTCTCTACGTACTTACTAGACGACTTTATATAGGAAGGGTAACTAGCGGTTGCCTTTACTAGTAAGCGATAACGGTAGTAGACTTCTATACTTCTAGCTAAGCCTATAACTCTAACTTAACCTCGCTATCTAACCCTTCCGCTACTGCTACTACTACTACTAGCGCTAGCGCTAGCGACTAAATATAGACCTCGAGCGTTTAATCTTCCGCCGCTTAATAAGACTCTCTTATTACTAATACGTCGACTGTTATAAGTTATCGACCTTCTTACGCTAAGTCTACTACCCTTTAGGCCCTTACCTTCGAAGGCGCGGCTACCGCTACCGCTACCGCTACCGCTACCGCTACCGCTACTGCTACCGCGGTAGCCGCGCGAGTCGCTTTTGTCTATATAGTCGGCTTAGCCGCTCGATTTAGATACTATTAAAGAAATAGCTAAGCTTATAAACCTTACTTTACTAGCGGCGCTAGTAAGAGAGGCTTCGCTATTAAAATAAGACCTAGAAGTAGTAGAAGACTTCCCTTAGTTAGATAACGATAACGCGATACGAGAAGTAGTAGGTAAGAGGCGGACTTCTAATAAATATAATAGTAATAAGCGTAAGAGATTAGTAGCGATAATACTACCTACTATTAAGAGGCCGAATAAGAGGAAGAATTAGATAGATAATAGTAGCGATAGCGACAACACCTTAGAAGCTATAACAGCCTAATTAGGTAAGCCGAGCTAATATACGAAAACCGAGCATTTCCGTAAGTTTAGTAGGTCCTATTTTACGCCTGAAAATCGGGACATTCCTTAGCCGGAATAGTGAGATAGTCCCGTAGAAACCCAAAGGAATAGTACGCTAAAAACCTATAACAACTAAGGCCATCTGCAGAATCACCCACAAGCTACCCGGCGTCGTGCTCATCTCATATCTCTTAATCAATGTTTCAATCATAATTCCCAACCTCCATCCCGCTGACCTCAACGATCCAAACCTCGGCTTTATCGGCCAAATGCACGAATCAGGAGCTGTCGTGCGATGCGATGACGGAATGACGACCGGAAGAAAAAAAGTCCGTCCAGATGAACATCATAATAAGGACAATGGATGTATCCGCCTTCTTCTTCACACCCGCGACCTCCAGAAGCATGTGCAAAATCCCCATAATGGTGGAGAAAGTCCACGACGCTTTTTCTCTTCCGCCTCATCTTCTCGCGGTGCTGCTGGGTCCAGCTGAGCCGATACTTCCTCTCGCAAGCTCTGATTCACCTGATCCATGACAGGACCATTCGTCAAAGGTGCTCGTGCTCGTGCTCGTGCTTGCCAAAGCGTGCCAGGTGATTGCTTGAAGCTGGAAGAAGGCCCGTATGGCAGGCAAGCTCGAATTTCGGAGCCGACCCGACCCGACGCAGCGCAGCCTTCACGCAGCCTAATCGCCTCGCACCGCAGATCCCGTGTTTCGCGTGGCGTGCTTAGCATAGACACATCGGCGGAGTCAGCGGTCATTGTGATGCATCGCGCCGACGTTGCAGCACTCGATGAGCGTTGCGTGCGACAGCTTCCGGAGAGGAGTCCCTTCCGGATTGAGCGCAAGGAGATCTTTAGAATGTAGGTTCTTTCCAAAAATTCTCACAGCCTCTTTCCAACCGTTCGTTCTATCGTACATGTACACGTTCTGATCTATCGTCAGCACCAGACTGCCGCTTCCTAACCCCACCCCCAGCATACATCCTCCCCTCAACAAGCGGCAGCACAGGACCAGAAGTAAAAGAACAATGCCCAATCTCATCCTCCCTCTCACTTTCCACCTCCCCCCACTGCACCGGCAAATACGCAGCATCAGCATCGTCCTGCGGGCGATGACAAGCGGCTGCGATGGCTACAGAGCAGGAACTCGCAATGGGCATCTGACTCCCGAATTTGCGGAAACCCATGGCTAAAGCCACGAATAGAAGTACAATGCCGATGAGCATGGTGACGAGGATGGGTGGACAGCTGTAGCCGACTGAGGACATATCGTCGCCTTCCGTGGGGTTTCCGTCGTAGTATGTGTTGATTCTTGCGAGGAAGATGGATTGGGAGATCATCCAGTGCAGCGTTGCGGAGATGAGGAGGAGAGGTGCTGAGTATCGGAGTGGGAGCTGGAGGTAGTAGGTCGATCTTTGTTGTCCGTGAGGATGGCTGACGCGAAGAGGTTTTCGGCGTAGAGCGTATGAGGACCATTCTTTTGCGAGGAGCATCGAGCTTAGAAGGCTGTTGTAAAGCAGATAGAGGAACGAAGCGATTGCTTGCGGCAAATTGGCTGGAGTCATGTCAGCGGATGTCATGTCACACCACCACCACCATGACACTTTCTTTCTGATCTGACTTACCAAGCAGGATGGAGCTGATCAACCCACTTGCTCCACTCTCAGGAAGTTCAGTAGAAATGAATGCTCGCGAGTCGATAGAACCGAATCCGATGCGGAAAGGAGATGCACCATCACCTTGAAGCTGACTGGTACCCATGCCGAGAAGAGAGGCTGTTGTAATTATGGCGGAAATGATCAGCGTGAATGCAGTAATCCAGCGCCCTTTCGATGCTGCTCGGAAGAACCATGTAGTCTTTTCAGGGTAGAATGTGACAGGCATAGGATCCGTATTCGGCTTCTTCTCGTTCGGGTTCAACTTCCAGCTCTTGATGTCCTTTCGACTCATCAGGCATCGTCCTTTGGTAAGATCGTCCGGTTGGTCAAGGTAACTGGCGACAGCATCGCCGACCGTGACCAATGTAGCATCTTTCTGTTGATACAGCGTGACAAACATGGCTACGCTTTTCAGGACGTTCATCACAATCACCGCGACAAGAATTTGTACGCTGAACTGCAATTCACAGTGGCTGGGCGTGATTTGACTCAAGCAGTAATCAATCTTCCGCCCGTTAATGGTCCAGTTGTCAACGTGCTTCTTGAGCGTACTTGTGGCACATTTCAGTTGAAACGTGTGGGAGGAGTTGTAATCGTTTTCACACATCCACCTGTATCGCAGCTCGCTGTCGTAATAATCTGTGGTACCTTCCACCATAAAAAGAGTCTCGTTCTTGGCCTGATCTCCAGTCTCGGTAGTGATGGTCAGGAGATGGTTTCGGCCAGTCACAAAATTAGTGCCGTAGGCATTGATGCAGTCCGTGTTATTCAGGCGTTCGACGAGAGTCTCGTTGTCGTAGTTCTGACCCCACCACTTCTGAAGTGAAGGCAGGAAGGATGTGTCAGATGGCATTGTCACGTAGTATTCATCATCGTCAGGCGTCACTGTGCTTGGAGGATTGACCAAAGGTATCTTCGTGGAAAAATTGCCGCCCTTCAGCCATTCCGGATTTACTGTAGCCATAATGTATTGGTTTGACTGTCTGAAAGTCAGTAAAATGCGCAAAGAATGAGTGCTACAATTTCCCCACATCGATTGTCTTGAAGGCTGCAGAGTTGTAAAGCAGGTGAATCGGCACACTGCTGACCGCCAGAATCCACCAAAGTACAATGCGCAACCACTTGATGCGGGAGAGATTGCGAACGCTGGCGACCCCAATATCCACCCAATCTCCCTTCGCGTGTGCTCGATCGACTTCTGCGCGCGTTGGAGCAGCGAGGGCCTGCATGGTGTAGTTGCTCGCCGATAGAAGCAGGGAGCTCAGGCCGTTGATCAGAATATGCAGCCACGTCGTCCAATGGTCCACCACTTCACAAGAACCCTCATACGCGACTCCAATGCCATCAAGGACAGGGAACTTCGCCGCGGCAGCGATGAGCAAGATGGTATTCATCACGCCCACCGTTGTTGCGGTCCATGCGCACACTCTCACACCAAAGTGCCATCCTGACAACTTCCTCTTCTTCTGGCTTCGCAGTGTCGAGGTGATCGAAAGTCGTGGGTCTGATCTCAGTGGTGGACTGCTGTCTGCACTATTCTTCTGACCCAGGTCGGAGAGAGCGTGGTGGTGTGATACCAGGCCCTTTGTACCGTCATCGACACCATCCCAGAATGTGTTCCCGTCTATGGAGATGTAGCTGGGTGCTCTGCACAATGATTGTGCAATTAGCAAAGTTGTATTTGATGTTGCGCACGATATGTGGAAGTTTAGTACGAGGACGAGGCGCATTCAAGCGGGAGGATTCGGCGTGCTTGCACGATGTCTCTCTCGTATTCGCGGGCGCAAAACATACCTCTCTGGTGGTATCTCAGTCAGATCTAGTTCTTCAAGCTCTTGCCCGTATTCGTGTCCATTATAGCTCTCGCCAACCTTGTGGTATCTCGAGGATGGATCTCCTGGGGCACTCATTGCCAGCCTCCGTTCGCTGCTCCAGATCGTCCAACATAGCCGGGAGAACAATTCTCAGCGAGCAGCAGCAGCAGCAGCAGCAGCAGGAGGATGCCACCAGGCCCGCCATTGTGAATCGCGGCATTAACGTTATTGTTCAGCTGAAGCCGTCTAGCTTGAGACGATCTCTCTTGGTGACGTGCTTCGACCCCGAAATGTTACCGTCTCTGCACCTCTCTGCACCTCCGTCCGACTTTGCTGAATCCTGAAGGATGCCAGCACGCCACGAGCGGGTTGGCGTCATCTCCAGCAATGTGCCGATTGGCTGTTCCGAGAATCTATTTGGAGAAAGCCGAAGAAGAAGCAGCCCACGCTTGAGTCACGAAATATGCCTTGTGATGCTCTGACTATTGGTCTCTATAGATGCACAGGTTCAGAGTCATGCCATCGCAGGTGGAAGATTTGATAACATCGATGGAATTAACAGACGCTGGTGGCGGGAGAGGAAGCTCGAGATAGTGATGATGAGTGTCTTGAATTTGGATACTGCCAGCTACGGTTTCCAATGAGCACGCGCATCGCGCTGCAAAATCGTCAACAATATACCCACACGAGTTTCCAGCATTGGCTCGTAGCACTCGCTTCATAATCCTTTCATGCCCTTCTCTGCTCGCTCTGACTTATTCAAGTTCTGACCAGCTGTCTCTGAATATCCTCGTTATACTTGGTCGTAACATTGGCGGGATAGGCTTTGAGCCCCTTCAGCCAGCCGTTGCCCTCTCTGTTCAACTTCCCATGAGGTTGCTCGCCCACTCCGGTCATCTCGCGACTGAATTTAGACACACTCATCTTGTAGCGAACGTATGCTGGCGTGTCTGGCTCGCGTAGCAAACGCTTCATGGCATTGCCGGTACTGCCTGCAAAGAAGGCGTTAGTAGGCAACAAGAGGAAGATGGCCACAATCTATACTCACAATCACCGCCGAGAATCCATCGGACCTCCTGAGCCCGTGTCATGGCGACATTCATGCGCTTGTCATCATCCACGAAGCCAATATCAGCTCGCCGGGTACGTGGATCATATTTCTGCACTGAGCAATCGATGATGGTGACGGGAGATTCGGTGCCCTGAGAAGAGTCGATCGTGGCGATTCTAGGTAGCTGCGAGTCCGGAATGCGGTACTTGCGCTGGATGTAGCGCATCGCGTCTTCATAGCAGAGCTTGGCCTCCTTATAAGCACAGATGACAAGGACCTTCTCGTTGGTCTTCTCGACGAAGTAAGCTCGTAGTTTCCAGAAAATCTTATCGCAAAAGAAACGAACGTGCTCCTACATACATGTTAGTTGATTTCAAGATGCTTGAGGTGGGTACTCACCAATACGAAGGCAGAGCGCTTCGAATTGTCCCGCTTGCCATTGATCTCCAAATAGTGTGTTCGTACAATTTTGTCAAGTTCGGTCTCGGTCTGGAGTGGGTCCCTGAACACAGTTCCAAGGTCCTCCAATATCTCGGTGAGGCAATTGAACAGTCCTGGAAATTTCTGCCGCAGAGTGAGGTACGTACTTGGCCCGTTGCGCATGCCCGGCGGGTAGAATTCCTTGAACGGCCACGCCGCAATATGATGGCTCATACGATGCTGTTCAAGAAGCTGCACGCATGGAAAGCCTTGGCGCTTGAGGCGCGACATCAACGGGATGCTGATCCGATCGTTGAAGGGATTGAAGACCATGCGGCCCGAGGCGCCGGTGTTGCAAGGCTCGAGCTGTCTTTCATCTCCAAGCATGACCATGCCGTGAATCTTCTGGCGCCACTCAGGATGTAGGAGTGCGGAAACGGAGTCGATCTCGTTGTCCTTGCAGGCCTCGTCTAGGACGACCACAATGCCCTTAGTCACAGTGCCATGCTTATTCGCAGCCCAGTTTTCGACGATATCGGAGCATCGCACGTTGCCTGTAGTCGTACAAACCATGCGAACATGGGCCAGATAGTGTGCTTTGCAGAGGTTGTACGACATCTGATATCGCTTGACTTGCCCTTGGTCACCCCAACGGAATGAGCCATCGGCGGCTCCCATCATGCATTGACGAAGAATGCTCCAGACGTCGATTTTCTCGCCGGCCTCCATGCCCGGAAGTCGGTCCCACAGCTCATAGGTTTCGTCTCGGGCGGCTCGGAAGACCTGCGCCGGTAGACCATAATCACGGTGAGAGGTGTACTTGTCATCTGAATACTGCAAGTCCGACCGGACCATCTCGAAATCGAGGATATCTCCGGCATCGTCTTCCTGAGTCGACTCCGGAGTGTGGATACAGGTTTGGCCGTTTGCAATCTTCGAAGGGCTGAAATCCGCTGAAGTGGGATACACGCGCGTGGCCTTGACCGGAGAGTTGGAGTGATTGCCAAACAGCTCCTTCAGCTTCCCGATGAAATCTGAGAGGTTGCTGTTGGCAGGCGCGAGCACTAGAACGTGAAGGCCGATTTTGTAGAGAAAAACGCAGATAGCCTGGATCAGCAGCGTCTTGCCGGTACCAGCAGGCCCAGAGATGAGAACGATACCTCCGACCGCTTCACGAACGCTGATCAGAGCTTCCAACTGCTCTGCATTCCATTTACGCCAGCGCAGCATCCACGTGAAAGCTTCTTCTACCACTGCATCGACCTCTTGGTACGACGATAAAGTGTGTGACCAGGGAGAGCTCTGGTCTACTCGAATGGTGTGGCCTGTGGCGAGATCAATTGTTGGTAACGACTCGTGATCTTGATTGAGGATCACCGTCTGCCAGCGATCGGCGTGCATAATGTTTCGGGACGTTTCCAACTTGTTCATTAGCTGCTGCTCGGGCATGCGAGGGCTGAATTTTGCCCGAATAGCCCGCCAGTCGACGTTGCTGTGAGTTGGTCTTGCTGCAGCGTCTCTCACTGCTGCGTTTGGTTTCCGAAGCACGAACAACGCGTCGTGTGCCCAGTCGATACTGATTGGTACCGGGCTCCTCTCGCAGACCATTCGCTGTTCTCCGTGCTCTGGTGACAACTCGAAAGTCACGTCGGCTAGGAAGCGATCGGGAAGGTCGAATTTGACAATGCCATCAGGGCCGCCGAGCAGTCGAAAAGGCGCGAAGCGGACAGCAAGTGCCACGGCACCGCCAACACGGTAGAGAACGCCTCGATGAGCGACCGATGCCCACTCCTTCAGGGACACCTCTTGTTCAAGCCAAGCTACGCGGGTTGACTCATAATACTCAACCGAGGCATGTGTGGCGCTCAAGAATGTATCCAGGCCGGCGATGGGCACCATCGGGTATGGGGCAGCAGGGTGGCTCATCAGTTCCGTAAGATCGCGCTGAAGGGTCAAAGGACGAAGTGCGGACCATTCTGGTGCTGACAAGGATGGCAGAGGCATCTCGGTGAAGTATGGGAGTATGGTTGAGAAGGGATAGCGGTCATCTTGGAGCGGCGTGTCAAAGCGAAGTCGCATCGCTTTCGGGGTATTGGCGAGATAGGTTCGCAATTCGTCCAGGACCTGCTTGCCCGCAGGTCCAAGTTCCGCAACCCCGAGGATGCGCGCCCAGTTGAGGCCCTGAGAACTCGCCCCATTTGCTACAAATCTTGCCTCGTCGGAGCAGGAGCCGTGGCGCTCGACGTCGCGGTGGAAGGTGAGGCCACCAAGGCTCGTCTGGCAGTTGAAGAACGGGAACTCCAGAGCAACCAGCAATTTCTGCTCTCTCCAGACGCACTCCAGTCTCAGGGTGGGGGCAGTGAGCTGCAGTCGGATGTCAGCAGAGTCGCTTCGTACGCGCCTGAGAGCGACTTACCAAGCGATTGGCAGTGAGATACAGCTGATATTGAGGCGAGCCATTGAAATCACGAGGTGGGAAGCAGGCGCCTCGTGCGATGAGCGTGCAGGGCTTGGCTGGGTATGCGATGCCGGTTAAATGTGCGACGAGCGACGTGGGATGCGGGCGGTACAGCGGTGCCAGTTGCGTGCGGGCGGTGATGGCACTGCCGGTGAGGGCGTCGGTGAGCTTCTCGCGGTATGCGAGCACTTCTGACAATGGCGGGGCCATGGCGATGTTGTTGTATGGTGGAGGGTTTGCAAAGCGCAAAAGCTGAAACTGAAGTGCAGGCAGCGGAGGTGAGGGTGAGGGTGGCTCGTGCTCGTGCTGTCGTCGTCAGCACCTGCCATTTCTACTCTCATATGCGCGACCGTTGCAAGCTTGACTTCACTTTGAAACGCTTCACCTCCCTTCGAAGAAGCGTCACACCTCGCATCGCGGCTTCCACGACGGCGATGGTCAAACAATGGGCCTACCTCGAGGGAGCAAGCCAGAGAGGATGGAGTGCATCTTCAGCGCCTGAGCAGCAGTGCTGAGATGTCGTTGACATGGGCAGCCGCAGGTTCTCGCGCGCTCTCGACAGGTGTTTCCATGGCCCTATATCCCATGCCATGCCATGCCATGCCATCCCATGCGGATTCCAGCCGATCAGTCGACAAAGCAATGCAATTCATCGAGCAGGTTCAGATGTCTTCGAGATGTAGAACGGCCCGCATGATTCCCTGACCGTGCATCCGGTATGCCTTCTGAGTTCTGCATCTTCTCCCGTCCCTCTTCCATTCCATGCTGCACATATGTCGCCGCACTTAGCCCTACTGTAGGGAATCTACGATGGTCTTCCTGGAAACACCAGTGCGACTGGTCAGCAAGAAAATGCAAGCGATATTGGCTCGCGGTCCTTGTTGGCGCAAGTCTACGGCAAACCGGCGCCTCGTGACATGTCTTCGCTTCCTCTTTTGCATACACGGCCCATCTTTATGCCCTCGATTAGATGCCCAGAGCCTACCACCTAGGCTGGTATGGTATTGCTCGCGCTACATTTGTGTCATGCTGCCAGCTCCACGTCGCGAACAGGCCACGCCGTTCCCTTCCATATCCTTTTGTACCACCTGGCGACTTGTCCGGTGCAGCCAAAGCAGACTCACGGAAGTCAAGGTCAGATCTAAACGGGTGGCATCGAGCAGTGCCCGTAATGCTTTTCAGAGAGAGGATGATGGAGGTGAAGTCGGGCGAGCCAAGTTTCACAATCGGATATGCAGTCCTCCGTACACTAGAATACGTCACCCGACCATGCTGGCTGTTCCCTGCTGCGCTGCAGCCGCTGCTCTAGACCGTCGGACCTGGTCCGTCCAACACATGATTGATGCGAGATAGGAGGAGTGAGGCGCGCTCGGTGTGCGAGAATATTCTCCTCTTGGACTCATCATTATTTCTTGGAGCCCAAGTGTCGAGGGTGCTGCGCCCATCCGACTGCACCGCTGCACGACAGCCCGCCCGAAGCGTCACTCTGGCTGCTGCCCAAGCACCGCTTTGACCTGGTATCCTGGTCCACGAGGCGCCCTGCCACCGCGCGCTGTCGTAGGTAGAAGAACGGGCAATCGCCCACGCACTTCCCTCCAATCCTCCACACCCGCCAGCGCCTTGCATGCGAGCGAGCTGACTAGCCAGCAAAGAGCAGCATATATCCCGCCTTTCCTCCAGCGGTAACGAGTCAGCATAGGGAAGTACGTCGCACAGGGCTGCTGCTGCCAACAAAGCAACTATGTCGCGCTTCCGTCCCGACGACGACGATCTGGCTTACGGCGACATTCCGCAAAGATGGGATCGCGAGCGCTTCGAGCGATTCGGGTCGCGGGCTGGCCCACCTCCCGGAAGACGAGTTGAGGATGACTACTACTACCATGAACGAGAGCGAGCAGGACACCGAGACGTCGCGGTAGCCGAGCGTGTGGAGAGTCGTGGTCCGAGAGGACGATGGGTCTTCGAGGACGATCGAGAGATTGACGAGAGGCGAGAGCCGTCACGAAGGCGGAGACGTACAGACAGGGAGTTATTCGGAGATGTCGACCCACGCGAGATTGCCGACATGGCACTGATGCCTTACCGACGCAAAAGCATAACGAGGGAAGACTTCGATATCGATCAGCGTGTTCGACCTGGTCTGCTGAGGAGGCAGAGTAGCCTCGACACTTTCGACCGACGCAGACGTCATGACGACGAGCATCGCATCCCACCATATACCCCCGTGCCCCTTCCAATCCGCCGACAAAGGCCATGGGAGGGATACTATGAGCCAGAAGACTATCGCGAAGTGGAAATCCAGCGTGAGCGCTCGGTGCGCAGGCGTCGAGCACCAAAGAGTGAGCGTTCAGTCAAGGAGAGCGTCAAGTCACAGAGCTCTAGCAGCTCCAGCAGCAGCTCATCATCTGAAGAGAGCGTGGCCAAGACGGAGAAGACTAGCAAAACCAAGTCTCGTGCGCCTAGTACTAAAGCCAGTACCAAGGCCAAGAGCAGTCGTGCTACTAGCGTGCACGAGAGCATTCACGAGACGCATATCTCGGAGTCTTTACCCCCGGCACCACCACCACCCGAACCAATTACAGAAAAGAGTGTCCATGAAACGCTCATCGAAGAGAGCATACATGCAGTGCGCAAATTCAAGAAGGGCAAGACGCGGATGCCGAAACGCCTTGTGAGGGTCGAAGCGATTATGGATCTTGGCTACCCATTCGAGGAGGAGGAAGATTTCTTCGTGCTTCAGATTGCTCTTGAAAAGGAGCAGATCGACGAGGTTATTCAGATCAGCGAGACGTACAAGAATGGAGGTGAGTTACTACGATGCTGTGAGCACTGTGTGCATATACTGACAACCTTGCAGAGAAAAAGAAGGTCTATCGCTTCGAGGAGAAGATCGAAGAAGGATCGCCCATCCCAGCTCCGCCAGTGGGCGAACACGAAGAAATTCAGCGCACTGAATGGATCAATCCACCGACCGTCATCGGGCGTCGTGGCTCTCCAAGTGCAAAGAGTAGCATTAGTCAAGTGCATCGCTCACGATCACGACGACCATCTTCGCCAGCCACTTATGTGGAGAAGCGTGAAACCATCATCGAAGAGTCTGCTCCTCCGCCGCCAGCGCCGCCACCAGCGCCAGAGTTCTACGAAGAGAAGAAGACCATCATTGAAGAGCGCTTGCCTCCTGATCACCATCATGCCGGCTCTCTTGTCCTAGCAGAACGTGAGCATCGCTCTGACCGCGACATCAATGCAGAGATCCGGTACCTGGAGGCAGAACGGCGTGCTCTCCGCCTCGAGCGCGAAGCCGATCAAAAACGCGATCTCGCGCTACGTCTCCGCGAACGGCCAGTCGAAGAGTTTCAACTTGTGGAATATCGAGATCGCAGTCGACCAAGACAAGAAATGGTCATCTACGAACGCGAGAGAAGTCCGGCGAGAAACGTTGTGCGCGTTGAGAAAGACAGGAAAGGTAGGATGGCTCTCGTGCGATCCTCGCACTGAAAAGCAGGGGTGAGTATTATTACTCACTGCTTCCATCCGCATTCGAGAGTAAGACATTGGCTGACAGATGGCTTGTGTTTGCAGAAAGGAGAAATGCGAAGATCATCGCTGCGGCTATGGCTACTCTGACTTAGTCCTCGTACACAGGTGGAACTCGTGGCGTGCATTTGAGAATGGGAAGTGTAGATGCCTCGCGGTCATACATATGGAGAAGAACGGCGGCTGACGTGACTGGAGACTATATGGTACTTTGAAGCAAGCGAAGTTGTTCAGTATTGTTATCGAGAAGGGCCGCACTCTAGTTTGGGAACCACTACACATCTTTTACGATATTATGAGCATGATCATGCATTCGACACTTCCGCCGCGAAACGTCATTTGGTCTTTCGAGGAGCCTTCACCTGCTTCACAACAACATTCACCAATGCTGGCTAGAATAAATGACACGAGCAGACGATTAAGGCATTCAAGGCATTAGGATTTCTCATATTTCTCATAATCATCAAGCATACATACGTAATTCCACTCCCCTCTCAACTACCACACCTTATGATCTCTCCACCCTCCACAATCATATCCATCCGGCGTCTTCACCTCCAACACCGCAACCGAATACGGCGGCAAACTAAACTCAAACCCTCCCCCCTCCCCACTCACAATCCCCTCCACATGCGTTTCCACAACATTCCCACCAAGCGGCTGACTCGAATTAAACGGCGCAGTCAACCACGTCAAATCCCCCATCCTTCCCGCCACCTCCATCCCCTCAAACTTGACCGCAAACGGAACATTTTCCGTCGCATTATACACCGCAGCCTTCAGCACCCAACTCTTCCTCCCTTTACTCCTGCCCCCCACATAATACATCGGATCGTAAACCGCGCCATCCATGGGCAAAATCTCCGTCATCCTCACCCCGCTCAGCAGTTTGATCACATGCCAACTCGTCGACAGAGTCGTATGTTTCGGGTCCGCGTCGAAAGAGATGAGGTCGGGGATCCATTGCCAATGGTTGAGATTCTGGAACATGGGAGCGTAAGCGGCTCCGATAATTTTGTCGGCGTTGCGTTCTACGGCTCCCAAGAGGAAAATCGCTTCGGCGACGCTTCCGTCCCAGAATGGTGCGCCGGCTCGCGGCGCGCCGTCTTCCCAGGTGACGTCTGAGCGGTTGTAGCCGTCGGGTTCGACGACGGCGAATTCGCCGAGGAGCAGGGGGTGGGCGGAGGTGTAGTTGTCGAATTGGTTGAATTGGGAGGACATTGTGACGGGGAGGGCGTATTCGTGGAAGTCGCCTGCTGCGCCCGGGAGGCCCGGGTCGCCGGAGGGTTCGTAGACGTTGTAGTAGGAGGAGATGAGGGTGATGTTGGGGTAGCGGGGGGTGATTGCGTCGTAGAAGGCTTTGAAGCGGTAGGAGCCATAGGAGGCTTTGCCGCCGCTGAGACTGTCTTCGTTGCCTACTTCGATGAATTTGATGCTGAAAGGTTCCGGGTAGCCGAGAGAGGCACGTTTGGAGCCCCAGGGGGTGCTGGGAGAGCCGGTGAGGAATTCGATTTCGTCCAGGGCGGATTGGATGTAGGGTTTCAGCTCGTCTTCTGAGAGGGCTGTTTTGTCGAGCCAGAGACCAGCCCAGACTGCGAGGACGGGTTCCATGCCTATGATAGATTCCGGTTAGTCTTGAATGGTCGAATGAGATGGCCGTGTGATTTCTTACCAAGATCCTGTGCCCAGAGCATATACTCCAGCAGCCCCAGTCCATTAGTGTTGATGTACCCCCACGTGCCAGGATAACTACGTCGATCTTCCAAAGGACCAATCGTCTCAGTCCAATTCCACCAGTACGGGCTTCGCACACCTTCGACGTTGTTGCCTCCTGGTGCTCGGAAGAAGGAAGGTTTCAAATCACTCATGGCTTCCATCAGATCGCTTCTCAATCCATTCTTGCGGTCCTTGTATGTCGGTGGGAACAAGCTGATGAGATTGAAATCGAGGCATGAACCAGATGGTGCATCCCAGGTGAAGGCAAGGGTGTTGTTTGAGTCTGGAGCAGTTTCTGGAGGGCTCAGAGTGTAGTTGTACTGCGTCCAGGAATCTGCTGTGGAGGCAATCGATACGGAAGCTTCAGCCCAGGACTTGTTGTGGTAGCCTTCGAGTACTGACTGAAGATTGATTGTGATGTTTCCGTTAAAGCTGCCATGGATCCAGAAGCTGCCCGAGTACTTCCATCCTGCATAGACTGGGAAGCCCCAGTATCCTGCGTTCGCGAAACCGACACTGCTCCCAGACGCATTGACACGCATCGATGTCGGTAGAGCTGCGGAGAGAGGCGTGGACAGATTGTGAAGAGAGAGCTGAGAGCTTCCTACTGCAGACCAGAAGCTGAGATTGGAGGGAAAGACCTGTTCATGTCAGCCAATGCTCTTTAGGGTTGATGAGATACTAACGCCATTGCCTTGAAAGGCACGATTCTGGACCAATTCCGCATATACGCCCCCATCTCCACAATTGTTGAGGTCTTCGAACATCAATCCATACTGGTAAGGGGAAGTAGCATTGCCACCGCTAGACTTGACAGTGATCGACACGTTTGGCGTGGCATTGTCGTACGTGGATTGTGCCAAAGCTGGTGCTATCGATGCCGCCCAGAGGGCGAGCCAGAGTAGTACTGCCATTTCAATTCTTCCAAACTGCAAGCCTGACCGACGCTCTCTAGACACAGGCCGACTCTGGGAGGCAGATGCTTTTAAGCTCGATGCCGCGTGCGGTCCACGAGCATAACATTGTCCCGATATCTCGCCAGAAGTCCATAGTCGCAGATCCTTACGCATTGGCAATTTGGCATTGAGACAAGCATTGTGGAGAGCGGCTTGGTGCCCGCTCCTGCAGGAACAACTCCATTGTGGAGGGACAAAACCGCGGCCGCACTGTCAGGCTTTTCCACCAATTATTGTAAGGCAATTCAAGTGAAAGATATGTGGAGGAAATTATTGCGGGGTATTCTAGACCAGGACTCGTGGTGGAGGAGGGCTATCCTGCACGAGTGCCGAGAAGCCACGGATAAAGTGGATAAAGTCCTCTACAGCAAACGAACCATCCCCTGTAAAAACTCGTCGCTGTTCGGCGTTCGTCGGCAAAACTAGGATGTCGACTAGAGCGGTGATTCTGATTGCACGAATCCATCAGATCTAAGCCGTACGCAGCATTTAACAGCAATTCTTGCTCCACTTCAGTTCGTCGGACTTAACCAAGGACTTCGTTAAGGGGATAAACGGCAAACTTTTGGAAAAAAGTGAGACAAGTGCGCTTGACCACGCTAAACGCGGAGTTCCCTCGCGTGTCAATACGAAGGTCGGTGCCAGGGGAGATCGGAATGGCCCGATATACCATTGCAGACCTCCTCGGGAGTCGGGATCTCGCTGAAAGATCTAGTCCTTGGTCCCAGGTACTTCCAAGGAGTCTGTCGCGTTCAACTCCATCAGTACGAGAGCCACATCCCGCCTAAAATGCTTCAGGCAGAAGACTGCCCTTTGACCATTAGCACCTTTACTTCGAATGGCTCCGCAACGTCCCTCCCAGCCTCAGCCTTCAAATCGCGATAGAGCTCCATACAAGGCGCCTCGCTGAGAACATCCTCGATGTCATGCGTCAGACGCAGTGTTTTATCGCTTCCCCAAGTTTCACCAATCGGTCTGCTCGCGAACATGACGTAGTTTCCACACTCCAGACAGTATCGCTTCAGGCGCGGGATAGCCTCGATGACCTGGATCATGCTCTCGAAAAGCATGTTGGGAGTTCCGGACTGTGATCCTGCATGCATGACATAGTCCTCGTTAGAACTTAGCCGCCATTCCACGACGAGGTCTTCGAGCTTGGCGCAGAGACGAAGACGCTTGCAGAAGCCCTCGAAGCCGGCTGAGGTAATGATGTGGAAGTTCATTTCTTCCTCGCTGGGAGTGAGCTCTGCTGTAATGCCGGTATGATGGTCAGGCGCTGGTGCCCACCCCTCCGTAATGCAGCATATCTCCAGAAAGGCTCCTCGAGCTGCGAAAGTGCTGATGACTTCGCTCTGCCGATCATGCTTCTCAGCTGGTGGGGAGGCTCCCCTAGCGCTCTTCACCGTCTCAGTTGGGAGCGCTTTGCTCATGTTGCCTACTAGGCGTTTCGACGAGTCGTCCAGATTCTTGAGTGTCATGTCGATTTGAAGGTGGACTGGAACATGTTTGTCCAGAACTTCACGCCATTCTTCCCCAATCTGCTTGTTAACCAGAAGCATTGACATATGCATATCCTCCTCCCGAACACGCGTATACCGCCGAGCGCCTTTACAGATGACGGCGCAGCAACAGTAGCCGTGCTTTCCAGGATCCGTACACGAGTTGGGACTGGAAGCTTGGCAGTGTCCAATCGCTTCGTTGTACACCATATCTCGAAGCTCGGTGGGAAGCGCAAGGAATGTAGTCTCGCCGTAGACATAGAGCGCCTCGTATGGGTTGTTATTGCTGTCACCCGTGGCCTGACGAATCGGGCTCATTGAATCGGCTTGCTTTCTGGCCAAAGCAAAAGGTGTCGATATTCTTTTTTTGATGCGCCGGCCACGACGAATGACATCGAGGTGTAGCACAGCAAAAGGATTGCCCTCGACATTAATGAGGCGACCTCGGCTAATGTCGCGATAGCTGAGCGCAATATCCTCGAGTGACGTGGAATCCATGATTGCGGTATGAATGATTTCGGAAAAGAGTGCAGCCAAGGGTTGAGATTGTCGAAGCTGTATGCGGAAGGAGAAGTTGAAGTCAGAGGAGGAAGTCAAGTATGTTAGTAAGTGTAAGCTCGAGACGCAAGGACCATTCTCAAACCCGCTCTTATTCACTTGTGCATGTGCGGATGATGGAGTTTCCATGTGCAATTACATGTGATCCTTCCACGGGCAATTACATGTGATCCTTCCACGTGCAATTACATGTGATCCGTCTCTTCGGCCATAATCACTCGTCGATATATCAGCCAAAGCTTCGCGAAGCATAATGAGCATCCATTTGGCATGGACTCTGAATTCATGCTGCGAGCTTGATTCGGGAAATAGGTGAAAGTTCATCGCAGGTTGAAACGGGTCATATTTCTCCCCTGCAGAGTTGGCTCCGGCAAATTCGCAAACAGAACCGATTGTAGTTGCGTTCTCCTCGGGCTATGTGCTCGACCTTCGCGGTCCTGAGAAAGCGAGAGCCTATATTCGTGGTATAATATATAGACGCAATCTTGTGAGTAGTCCTAAAGTCCGCCGCATAGAATGATTAAGTCTGTCTGATGCATGTAGTTAGAAGGAGGTCAGCGAAGGCCAGAATGTCTGTGGTGAATGCGTGTAGCAATCGCAAAGGTTTGCGTGTGTGATCAATCTTTCTTTGCTGCGCTTGCTCGCTGAGACTCGCGTCATGATTGATAAGGAATGTCGCAATGCCCACTCATAGTATAGTCAGACGTGGTTGGAATTCCGGGATGCAGCCTGCCACTAGTGTCCGGCTTATAGCAACCAAGCAGAAGTGAATGATCCCGACGAGTGGTCTGGCCGTGCAGCGTACTTCCCAGAGTGCACCACGAGGAGCCAGACATGCGGAAGCTGTCAAGGCCGAGCTTCTGGATCGCTCGCGGTGCTTTTGTTGAACAATGCTTCTCGCGAAGGCTGGTCAAACTCGGGCGCCGTCTCATGCAAAGGAGCGCGGCCATAGGGCTTGCTTACAGCGAGAGGTGTTGATGGAGTGAAGCGAGTGTTGCACTGTGCATCATTGTAGGGCGCTTCTCCATTGGGGGTTGATATGGCCATGCTTGATGTGCTTGATGGATCAAGAGAGAAACAAACGTGAAAACAACCAGCAGGTTCACGGCTACGGTCAGCCGCTAGCGCTCCAAACTTCGCAGCTCATCCCCTTTTTCTGGTCTCCTACCAACCCCTACTCTCCTCATCTTGATCCTTATGGACAATGACCTTTCGAACCATCGTCGTTTTTACATTTCTTATCCCCATTACAATTCACGCTACAAGCACAATTTCCACCGCTCTGACAACCTTTTGATACCGTAGCTTTAGGATATTTTTTGAAGTATTCGACGCAGACCTGGCCGCAGTTCGTCAACTATTTCGAGACGTTAGCCGAGCCAGCCAGCCGACGCACGAGGTCGAGTAGGCACTAGAGTAAGAAAAGCTAGTAGAGAGAGGAGGTCGCACCGAGCAAGCACACTTGCCGCCAGTACATGTACCAATAACGTTGGCGGCTTGATTAGTTTGGGCCGCCGATTTACAGCCTGCTTGGCAATCTCTGTTGGATGTGCACTAGCCATCTAACGTTAGTAAGGAAAGCTGTATTAGAAGGGATGCGGTAGGTATATACTGGGTCTCCGTCGTCCCTAATACCAATTGAAGCTTGAGCTATATTGCTTAATGCGAGCAAGACGGCGATAGTTTTGAATAGCATAGCGAGTAAGGAATGATGGAGAGAATGAGGTATGCTCTACCATACTAGAATATAATAATGTACAGATCTCTCCCTTTCATGGATGAGCATGGTATGTGTATATATAGTAATCGATTCGGGAGCATACTGTATATGCCGAACTCTATCTTGGGTTGCTCACTGGGATTATGCCAGGATTGCGTACACTGCCGACAGTTCGGTACATGAGTGCATTTTCATGCGCGTTGGAACTGCCGAACTGGGTACGAAAATTGCAAGCACAAAGGGATGGAACGGTGAGGTCTGAAGCATCTGGAAGAGGTAGCCGGCTAGCCACGACCCTTGTTGGAGGCGCAACGCTAAAATCGCCACCGCAACGCGACGCGACTGCCACTGCCACTTTACGCGCTGCGCTCCCCTGTCTTGCTCTTGCTCTTGCACGCACACCTTCCACGCCAGAGAGCGACATCAGTCATCAGAATGGGCGCTCTCAATCTCGCAGAATGGCAGAAGCTGCCCGTCAGTCTGTCGGAGCTCTGCATCAACACCACCCTCCGCTGCGGGCAGTCTTTCCGATGGCGCAAGAACGACAGTGGAGTCTGGTCTATGGCCCTTCACAATCGCATTCTGTCCCTATACCAAGACCCCGAGCACCTCTACTACCGCTCGCTTTCGCCCGCCGACCTGCAGGCTCCTATGACCCCTCCGTCGTCTAACCCGCCTTCCCTGCCGGACATCAAGGATGATACTCGAGATCTGGTTCGGCACTATTTGAACCTGGAGCCAACCCTCACCACTCTCTACGCGCAGTGGAGTTCTGCAGATGCCAACTTCGCAAAGAAAGCGCCCAAGTTCACGGGTGTCAGGATCTTGAGACAGGACGCTTGGGAAGCACTGATTGGCTTCATATGCTCTTCTAACAACAACATCATTCGCATATCGCAGATGGTCCATAAGCTCTGCGTCAACTACGGACCTTTGCTCGGCTATCTGGATGAGGAAGCATACCACGACTTCCCTGAGCCGAAAGACCTCGCGCAGGATGGCGTCGAGGCAAAGCTTCGTAGCCTGGGATTTGGGTACAGGGCCAAGTACATCTACCAAACAGCTTGCATGGTAGCTGAGAAGCCGAAAGGATGGCTAGATGCTCTGCGCAATCCTGAATCTCCTGCACTGGGTGTGAAGCCAGAATTTGGAGGAGAAATGCTTCCGGAAGGCCGGGAAGGGTATCGTAGAGCTCACGAGGAACTTCTAACTCTTCAAGGCGTTGGACCAAAAGTCGCCGACTGCGTGGCGCTCATGGGACTTGGCTGGGGCGAAGCTGTGCCCGTAGACACTCACGTATGGCAAATTGCGGTGCGAGATTACAAGTTTGGGAAAGGCAAACATACCAGCCTTACGAAAGCGACCTATGATGCTGTCGGAGCAAAGTTTCGGAGTCTTTGGGGCAAGGAAGCTGGTTGGGCGCACTCGGTACTTTTTACAGCTGATCTGCGCGCTTTCAGCGAGAGGTTGGTCGCAAAGAAGGAGGAAGTCGAAGTGAAAACAGAACCAGGCGCTGAAGTGATCAAGACCGAAAAGAATGTCGAAAAGGCAATCAAGCGAGAACATGAGGACGAGGAAGCCCAAGTACTTGAATTCGAAGAGAAGGTGGTCAAGACAAAGCGTCGGCGCAGGAGTTGAAGATTTGTGCACATACCAGGAAACCTCCATGCTGACCGAGCTACTTGTTACGTTACCAATGCCACTGTACTGCGTATTGTGCTTCAAGGGACCGGTGCCAATGCCCGCCAAACTACATCGTATGTCTTCTATCCAGGATCGTACGAGCAGGATAGAATTGGAAGCAGGCGTGCGGTCGAAGAGGCAATGAAGAGAAACGTTCACACTTCAAAATGACCATCCTCGCTTGGTTCGACATACTCCGGCCAAGGGGACTATCCGGGGTTGCGTCAGCCCACTTCACCCCTCGCCCCAGCTCGGGGATTTAAGCCATACGTAAAATCGCGATTTGTTAGTAGGCCACACGTAAAACTCGACACTACGGTATATTATAGAGCATATAAGCCGGGAAATTAATAGTAAGTACGATTACAGTTAAGAAGAAGGCATATTGCGACCGTATATATCAAATTAGACTATATAGACCTACTATTACTATACTATTAACGGCCTTCGCGCATACGCCGCGCTAACTATATAATCGACTACTTTACAAGTCGGTCTATATGTCCTTGTTTCTACCTCTTATTAGCTATTATAGCTACTATCTTAAGTGTCTTCTTCTAGCTTAATAGGGTTGTCTTTATAGCTAGCGACCTCGCCTCGATAATAGCTAGTTTTCTTCGAAGGCTCGTAGAAGTAGCGCTTCCGCTATACCGACTCGTAACGACGGCGAGGGTATATTAAATAAGGCTAAAGTGTAGTATATAGACCTTTATTAAGTACTGCCTTATCTTGTTATAACTAGTCGAGTCGAGTATTAGGCTCTTACGCAAATAGGCCGTTTAATCGTCGCTTAGGCTTAACGTTAGTCTACGTTAGAAGGTCGCTTTCGTCGTAATTGTAAGTACGGCTCGGTAGAGACAGTATTATTATCGGACTCTAGGTATAGGTAATGTCGCCGCTCTTACTCGTTATAGTATAGCGCTTATAATCGCTAAGAATGTTAGCGTACGGATTACTAGTTTTCTTTAAGGTAGAGGTATTATCGGAAGTAAGAAGGCGCTTATCGAAGACACGTTATAGTAGCTTATCGATAGGTTACAATTAAACGTCTAACTACTTAGTCTTACTATTGTTATTAAAGACAATATAGAAGGCCTTACTATACTTTAATCGATAGGTGCGCGCCTTGTTATAGGCCCCCTTAGCCTCGCGGAGCATCTTCTAGTATCTATTGTTAGCTAGGTCCTTATCTTGCTAAGTAAGTTGTAAGCGCAATTTATTAGCCTTAATAGTACCTGCTCGAATAAGCCGATTAGGCTATTCCTTCTGCTACTTCTTTACTCGTTTAACAACGCTCGTAGACTAGTATTTACGCTTGTATTCTTTACCCTTATAGATAGCTATATTAACTAATATATTATACGCCTCTTCTACTTGTTTTATAGGTAACGAGGAAAACGGGTTAAATAATAGTAATATACCCTGCGGGGCTGTCTTTAGATAAGAACGTCGGAAGGCCTTACGGGCTTCTATAGCACTACGAGACGCCTTAATCGTACGAGGGCTAGTCGTAGTATTAAGGAGCTATTATAGCAATTCGGGGGTCGGTGTTCGCTAAGGCGGCAGAGGCGGTAATAATAGCAGACCTTAAGCAATTAGGTTTTCGAGATCCCTAATATAGTAGCGACGGTTAGCGAGATACTAGCCTTCTAGATCGATAATAGTAGGCTTAGTAGAACGTTCTTCCTCAACCGACGCGATATACTCCTACTAAGCCGCCTCCGCTATTGCTAGTAATTCCTTATACTAGGCCTCCTCCTATACTAATTCGCCCTTAATTACTTGCTAGTTCTAGTTATAGTTAGTAGCTCTATACTAATCTCGAATATGCTTACAAGGAACCTCCCTATTAAGTAGGAATATACTAGTCTTCCGGAATGCCGACCTTATATTATAGGAGGTGAATGTTTTAGCCCGAATAGCTAAGAGGGCCTCGATAAACTTAGGTATTCTAAACTCGCTAACTCTACGGTATATAGCGTCTAATACCGCTTACCTATACCTTAACTTATACACCTAGAAGAGGACAATATCTAAAGGCTATATAAAGTGTAAGGTATGTAGTTGTAGGCCCTATAATTGGATCTTATATCGCTTTGCAAAGGCTATAAACTCCTTAAAGCAATAAGAGCCGTAGTTGTCGCATAGGAGCACCCTCTATTCTTCTAGATCTTTAGGCCTCGTCTTCCGCTTAAACTAGCGGATATAGTGCATTGCGGTATCGTTAGTTATATAGCTAGACTTATTAACAGTAATGAAGAAGTTGTCCTTACCTAAGAATAAGGGCGTTAGTTAGTAAGCGAGTAACGTTGTTATTGCCTTACCTTCTTTTAGCACCTACCGCTCTTAAACTATTATACCTTTAATAATTAACTAATAATCTATTACCTTACCGAAGGCGTTAACGGTCTCGACGATAGTTACGTACGGACGGTTACTATTATACTCGGTCTAGGCGCGCCGCTTCGTATCTATTATAACGATATACTTATTACTACTAATTCTAATCCGGAAGCTAGTCTCGTCGAAATTCTATAGGTGTTAGGGCTAAAGAGGCTATACGTAATTAGCATGTAACTAGGCTAAGTAAAGCTAGGGTCTTAGTGCCTTAGGCAGGGCTTGGCGCTTAGTAATAGGCTAACTTGCCTACCTTCCTCCCTCTCCTTCTAGCTTCTTATCGAATACTACCTATACCTACTACTACCCTATCTACCTGCTAATATAACCCTTCTTATATAGTATTCGATCTACCCTTTAAGGGCAGTAGCTAGATAGTCCTTATTTCAAGCTTTTAGCGGTATAGCTACGAATAAGACTAATCTAACTATATTACGCCCGAAGAACGGGACCTATACGTACTATTCTATCGAAACAACCGTACCAATTATTAAGCAAGGCCTTCTATACGGCCTATTACACTAAGTTAAGCATACTAGACCGATATCTACTAATTCCGCTACATCCGTATCTTAGGGGCTAATAATATATTATTAGTGCTACCCCTTATTATAATAGCCGGCTTATTACGAAACAACAACAACCGTGCTGCCGCTAGTAGCGCTAGCAATAACAACGCTAGTAGCGCAGTGCCTACTAAGGTACCTACTAAAGCACCTACTAAAGTGCCTCCTACCGAAGAGCCTACTATAGGACCTGCTAAAGAAGAACCTATAATTCTAGGTAATAATCTAGAATTGCCTGTTAACGATATTCTTAACAATATTGTTAATCGTCGATATAGCTAACTAGCCTTTAGCCCCTAGCTAGTAGCGAGACTTTAAGAAGCTACTTAAAACAGGCTTACTGCCCTACGTTAAGAACAATAGCTAAAGGATAATCTCCTCGAGATTCGCCGCTTGTAGGAAGCCCTAATAACTAATGCTAAGCTAACGATAATAAGTCCTCCTCTACCCGTCCCTACTTAAAAGAAGGATGCTAAACTTAAGGACTATACCGTGTTTAACGGCTCTAGTCGAAAGCAATACAACGATTATATACGTGATTATAAGCTTAACTAGCGAAACGTACTAAGGGCCCTTCTAGATAACTACTTATTAGTCGTCTATGCTATGCAATATATTAATAGAGACCTAAAACGCACCTAGGATAACTATTTCGACTCCCTTACTAATTAGACCGCTATTTAGTAGTAAACCTATAAGACTATTATGCTAGACACCCTTAGAAACCCTATACTAAGGCTATCTCCGGTTTAGACCCTTGCTAACTAAGCGTAAGGAAGTGTGGTAGGTATAGGTCTTCTGCCTGCCTTCTACTACTATGCTCCTTCTACTACTACTACCACTACTACCAATCTATATCGGACTACTACGCGACCGGACCTACACTACTATACTAACCTCCTTGCGCTAGCAAGGGTCTAAGGACAAATGTCGCAAAGCTATAGAGGCAGTCCTTATAAAAATACTAGGTTATTAACTAGCGTGAAATCTCGTAATTTAGCACTCGTATCTTATTGTCCTATCAATTCTGAGTCATTCTATATATACAGTATTTAAATACAACGTATAGTTGTTGAGAAAATGAGTAATATTTAACATAGGTAGCTGCAGGTATGCGACGGGTTAGTGCAGTGTCTAACTACCTAACATCTAATACACGAAATACACATATCTAAGACTAGGAGATTGTAGAGCGACCATTTCTAAATACTGTTTGTATAGACTATGTATGTCCCTAATGCCTGCCTGCTAAATGCTAGCCCTCGAGCGAAGCTAACTTGTTTGCTAGAATTAAGACCTTCGAATATCGATAAGCGACAATGCGGAGGTTATAGAGCGGCCATTTCTAGATTACCTTAATGCGAGCGATATATGCGTAGAGCGTAGTGTTGTTGTATTATATCTAAGTAGCGGAGGCTATTTAGCTAGCTTGAATCTATCGACAAAAGCTAGTACTATAGGCTAGCATTATAGACTAGCATTATAGGCTAGCACTATAGGCTAGCACTATAGGCTATCGTAGATTATGCTTATCGCTAATTGCGCTCCGTTCTACGCTAAGCAGTAGAAGATTCTCGTACACGGCTTCCTGCAGGTTGTCGTTTGTCGCGCTAATTGATATCGTATATACCGCATTAATCGATCTCGTGTTTATAGAGGTGCTGCTACTGCTAATGCTGCTACTACTGTATATTGACGAAGTCTTGTCGGCGTTGCGACTAATCGTACTGTCTTTGCATGTGAATCGTAAGTCGTAAACTAAGCGCTTTACACTTCCTTAGTTAAGTAGGTCCAACTAACAAAGCCTTGCCGCTTTGAGCTACAGGTGTAACAATAGCACGGACGCCCGTTCTTCTGCCTGTATTTAGCACTCGCACTGCCGCTAGCGCTCGCGTCTAACACTCGCATCTAACACTCGCATCTAACACTCGCATCTAGCACTCGCACTGCCGCTAGCACTCGTACTGCCGCTAACACTCGCGTCTAGCACTG